GAGAGAAGTCCTCTCTCCTGTGGTCACCACAGCTGGGGTGGAATTTCATAAGCCAGGGGAAGCTCTCCCAAACAGTGTCCCTCTTACGCATTTGAACCTAAGTGTGGACCCAGTCTTTTCCTTCAAGCACCTCGTACGTATGTTTTGTCTTAAACTTGTTGCCATAGGTAGGCAGAGCCCACTGCTCTGCCAAGGGCCTGTGCTGTATCTGTAGGGGCTTTACAGGTCAGTGTTGTTCTCTTCCATTAATCCCTGAGCTCATTTCAGTCACCTGAACATGAGGGTCTAATACTATTTGAGATTAGAGTGTAAGGAATCAGACACACCTTTTCATGGTGGCTTTCACATGGACATGGGACCTACTGGGAATCCATAGCCAGCTGACATAGCAGCTGGAGGCTTGAGCATTCACCCAGGGCATCTCAGGGTACTGTTGAAGACCTCTGTTGAGGCAACTGAGTCACACCTTTTGTACCAATGCATTGCTGTTTTGTCAACTAAGGAAACCAAAAAATACCATCAACTTCAAATGTATGTGGCCATTCACTCAAGCAAAATCCGTCACCTCCTAAAGGAACTGCATGCCTTTTGGTAAACAAACCTGAACTGGAGCATTTCCTTCAGTTTTCTGACTGAAGATAGTGTTTAAGTCCTTGAGTGAATCAGGTGTCAGACTGAGGCCTAGTTGCAAGTCTCAAGACTGGCATTGTGTTGATGGCATACAAGTAAATCTTTAAGATTAAATTCATATTTAAGCACCCTGTGACTTCCTTTTGTGGACCAAAGATGTGCAAAGCTACAGCAGAAGTTATCTGTGTGTCTGCACAGTGCATTGAGGCCCCACATGAATTCCACCAGCTCTTCAAAATAATCTGAAGACCAGCTTTTTTGACAGCATCAGCAGTGCTTTTTCATGAACGGAGGGTGAGACTCTGGGCTCTCCTGAAGTCAGTGAGAGACTCCCCTTGGTTTCACTGGGGCCAGGAAGTCCATGAGAAAAAAAAACTGTTCCTCACCTAGACTGAAATGGCAGCCTTAATAATGATCTTTGTGTCTCAGCCTTCAGGGACCTTCTGTACTTGTCTGTGCATCTTCAGGGAACTGGAACAGCACACCACCGGCTTGCAACATAGTCTCTTGTGGATCCCCTCCTGCCATCAAAGATGCGGTCATCAGTGGAAATAACTTTACTTTTGGAAACACGGTCTCTTACACGTGTAAGGAAGGGTATGTAGATTAGCACTACTGGACTAGTAGTCAGGACAAGTAAAACTGGTGCACTGCTTCACAAGTCCTTTATAACTGCACACTAGTTCATTTCTACTGCTTCTGTCTTAACTCTTTGGAAATTAAATGTGATGGAGATTTTTTTGTGGGCTGTCAAGTTAGTACCGGACACATAGGTATTTCTTACAGGAGTTTCATGGCAGCTGAATACACTCTGGAAGAGGAAAGTGGAAAGGAGTCATGGGGAATGATAGACCAATTCAATAGGAAGCCCTGTCCCTTGGAGTTACTACAGAACTAGTGCTTCCATGGTAAACTCAAGGCCCTGATCATAAAGAATTCCCAATGTCTCTTCAGGCTATTAGGAAAGCTGTTTGGTGTGTTTTGAGAACTGTCTGTTCTGGTGTTCTAAATGTTGCTTCCTTAAAACTCCTCGTTCATTGAGGTGCATTGAAGATGAGGCTCCATTGTGATGATGGAGCATGAATGTAACTGGACTCTCATGCTGGAAAAACCTTTGCACGTGCTTATCTTTTCAGCCTGTGAGCAGTCCCACTGAATTTCTTAAAACTGATCTGTCCAAAAGGCAGAGCAGGTATGCAGAGCTTTTGCCAGGTCAGGCCCTAAGTGACTAGAGGATTTTGTGCTTCCTCTTGATGTAAAAAGGTAGATTGATAAGCCAGCATTTTTCTTCTAAACTGGCTTTGCAATATGATTTGAAACATAATTGAAGCAAAGCATACTTATATTGTTTTCTTGCCTGTATTATCATTTTAAAAGAAGCTGCTTTTTCCTGTGCAGGCATTTTAAATGGGGTAGAACAGAATAATTTAAAAGGGTCACAGCTGTCTGTGATGATGAATAGAGTGGATCATATTAAACATTGGCTCATAATAGGCTCTTTTTCTGGAGTCCAGTCACAAGGTTTTGAAAACAAATCCTGCAAACAAGACAAAACATTTTTACAGATACTGCCATCAAAATCAGAACAACCAAATTCTAGCTGGAAAGAATCACTGGGAACCTTGCAGTAGTTATTATTTCTTTGCTTTCTGTGAGAGAACACCACAGAGATTTCAAAACTGATAAAGAAGATAGTCACAGCTACTGTGACTATACTGTTACATGTTGAAGCAGCAGGGTTTTAAGTGGGGTGATGAGCACCATGGAGTAATGCCTGCCACTGTGTCCCAGAGACAGATTAGAGAAATACAACTACACTAACAGTAATCAGATGATGGAATTTCATTGTAAAAGGTTTTTTTTTTTCCTACTCAGCATTTTTAATTGGCTTTTTATAACAATTTTTACAGTGGTTTTTTTAGGAAGTTGTTATTGCCATGTGCGTTATTGTCAAGAACATCTCTGGGTAACTCACTAAGGAGTTTCTTATTGATGCAAGTGTGAAAATAGATTGATAGGGTTGATACAGGAACCCAAAAGGCCTTTCTGGGCTTTCAGTCTCTTTCTTCTCCATTCAGTTCTGCTAAAGGGGAAGAATTTCTTGGTGGGATCATTTCTTTGAGGATTGTATGGACTGTCGCAGCACAATACTAGGTTTGTAGTAGTTTCAGGCAAAATGGAAGTTCAGGAGTGGTAGTCAGATGGGCAGACAAGAGAGAAGCAATGTACACAAGGTGTGCTAGGATATCCCTCATTGTGATGCCTCACCCAGGGACATGTAGGCTTTAAAATTTTCCTTTTGAGGTTGATCATACCTTTTGTAAAGGATCCTATGCTTCCAGGGTGCTAGCAAGCAAGCTTGTACTGCAAGGGCTTCAGGGAGTTGTAGGTAGCATCTGACAGTGCTTGTCTTGCTTGTCTTTTTGACTTCTATGTGGTTTCCTTTATCCACAGTTATACGTTAGTTGGTCCTGCAACCATAGAGTGTTTAGCCAGCGGCAAGTGGAGTGTGAGCCACCAGCAGTGCCTGGCAGTGTCCTGTGATGAACCACCCCACGTGGAAAATGCATCACCCGAGAGCGGCCACCGCCTCTTCGGCGATATAGCTTATTACTTCTGCTCGGATGGCTACAGCCTGGCTGATAACTCTCAGCTGCTTTGCAATGCAGAAGGGAAGTGGGTGCCTCCAGAGGGCAGGGAGATGCCCCACTGTATAGCTGATTTCTGTGAAAAGCCATCCACTGTCTCATACAGCATCCTGGAGTCCATTAGTAAAGCCAGGTTTGCAGCTGGCTCCATCGTGAGCTTCAAGTGCATGGAAGGCTTTGTTCTGAACACTTCGGCCAAGATCGAGTGCCTTCGGGGAGGCCAGTGGAATCCTTCTCCTTTGAGCATCCAGTGCATCCCCGTTCGCTGCGGAGAGCCTCCCCACATTAGCAATGGCTATGCCAGTGGGGCCAACTACAGCTTCGGAGCAGTGGTGGCTTACAGCTGCAACAAGGGCTTCTACATCAAGGGAGAGAAGAAGCGGACCTGTGAGGCCACTGGCAACTGGAGTGGCAGTTTGCCCACATGCCACCCAGTGTCCTGTGGAGAACCACCGCAGCTTGAGAATGGCTTTATTAAGGTACAGAGTGAGTTTTCTTATCACCTGCTACCATAGCAAACTGAGTATGTCTTCACAATTGCCGCTGTTGGGGGTTTTCTGTTTTGCTTTCCTGTTAAAATTGAGGAAGCACGTGACTGAATGGAATAATCAAAGGGAAAAACGAGTGGATTTGCAGCAGAATCGTGTCTGAAAAACATGGACACTTCCATGGGATTTCTTGTCTTAAAGTGGTTTTTCAGTTAGGAGACTCAAGATGCCCATATGACAATCAATCGATTTCCTTAATGTGATGTCCTTCATTTGTTTGGTCCATTGGTGGCTTTCCAGTGCCATCTGGAGACATTTGAAGTACTGTTGCCAGTTCACAAGCCTTGCTTTTTTCACTGCAATGAAAAAAAATCTCATTTGCAGTACGTAAATCACCTTGGGTTAATTTCTCTCTTTTCGATGCAAGTACCCTTCTTTACTGAAGTCAGAACTTCCCTTTGCTTACCAAATTACATTGCAACAATGCCTGAAGTTAAAAAACTCCCTGTGGCAGTCCAAACCTGTAACAACTACTTAACCTGTGTTGTGCTTTGATACACAAACCTTGAATTTTCTGTGGTAAGAAAGATCAAAGCACTATTGTAAAGATTTAACTTTGAATTTTTAAAGCATTTTTCATCTGAACATCCCCACTCCTTCCTTAAATCTAGTCGTCAGGGAATCTGCATTTGCTAAAAATTGGGTCAGGGGTTGCATCCCAGTTCCTACGTGGGCTTCCAGCAGTAATAGCAACAATTTCTGTTCTGACTGCCACACAGATACATTCTCTAATTAATGCATATCACTCTGTATTGTCTTCCTTAGGTAGGATCACTCCTACAGATATTCCCTCCAGTTAGAGACATTTTTGATACCTCAGTCAGAGCTCAGTCTGCAACTTTGAGGGGTGCCTCAGTTGCATGCTCAAGACCCTGCAGCTGCACACGTGGCACTTACAAACGTCTCCTAGTAGTAGTACATCTGAAGGCTCCAGCCTTGAATACGCCTGTAAGCTAAAAAACCGTAACAGCAATGGACCATTTCATGGCAGCTTCTCCTGACCCATTTCTTTTCTGTCTTCCTGTCTTTTGGTCTCATGGGTCAGGAAAGGGTGGAAGCAGAGGAAATATTTTCTAGATTTTACCTTTTAAGCCTTGAATTTTCTGTTTTCTTTTGACGGTGCTCTCAGATTTCCTGACATCAGAGTGCATCATTTGAGGCAAGACATTCTGTGTCAGTTATTTGCATTCACTCATTTGCAGACAGCTTTTACTGCTGTCTGGGACTCAGCTAGACACTAGACCAAGGGAACACAAGAAATTAAATCAGCCTCCTGTTGCCCAAATCATGCATCTGCATTTCAGACATGTCCCTGTCTTACCTGTTTTTCAGGAAACAACTGGACGCTTCTTTGAAAATCAGGCAAATTATCAGTGTGAGTCTGGCTACCAGATGGTTGGGAGCTCGGTGTTTATCTGCCAAGCCAATCGGCAATGGTACAGTGAATCACCTCCTTACTGTGTTCCCCTCAGCTGCGGAAAGCCACCACCCATCCAGCATGGCTACTCCAAGGGAGATACTTTTGATACGGGCTCCAAAGTTGAATTTTTCTGTGATGAAGGCTATGAGCTGATCGGAGATATTTCTTGGACATGTCAGAAATCCGGGAAATGGAGCAAAAAGCAAAGCCCAAAGTGTGTGCCAACAAAATGTCCAGAACCACCCCTGGCAGAAAACCAACTGGTCTTGAGGGAAGTGACTTACCAAGTTGGTGTTGTGCAGTTCTCCTGCAAGGAGGGTTATGTTTTGCATGGCTCCTCTGTACTGAAATGCTTGCCCTCCCAACAGTGGAATGATTCCTTTCCTTTCTGCAAGGTTGTACAGTGTTCTGCACCTCCATACATCCCCTTTGGTGACCCCTTGACATCATCTCTTCATTTTGGTAGCACTGTGAAATACATCTGTGTGGATGGGTTTTTACTGAAGGGTGAGTCTACCATCAGATGCCAGGCTGATGGCTCATGGAGCTTGCCTTTGCCAGAATGTATTCCTGTGGAGTGCCCCCAGCCAGAAGAGATTCAGAATGGCATTGTTGATGTGCAGGGCCTCACCTTCCTTAGCACAGCTCTCTATACATGTAAACCAGGCTTCGAACTGGTGGGGAACACAACTATCCTTTGTGGAGAAGATGGCCAGTGGCTTGGAGGAAGGCCAGCTTGCAAACCTATTCAATGTCCACAGCCTAAGAAGATCCTCAATGGCAAATACTCATTCACAAACTTCCATTATGGGCAGACTGTTAGGTATTCCTGTGACAGAGGTTTCCAGCTCCGAGGGGAGGAAACGCTGAGATGCCTGGAGACAGGGGAGTGGAGTACAGAGGTTCCCTCCTGCAAAGCCATAAATTGCCAGCCCCCTCAGCCCATTGAGAATGGCTTTGTGGAGGGTGCAGATTATAGCTATGGGGCCATGGTAATTTACAGCTGTGTGCCAGGCTTCCAGCTGTCTGGCCTTGCCATGCAGACCTGTGAAGAATCGGGCTGGTCTAGCTCCACACCAGCCTGCCTTCCAACAGACTGCGGCCTGCCTCCTCACATTGACTTTGGGGAATACATGCAGGTGAAACATGAGGAAAGACATTCTGACCAGGAGAGTGTTACAGAGAGTCCCTCCCTTTCACATATCTTACTGGCTGACGATTTGAAAGACTTCAAAAGTTCCTTGAAGGAGGACAGTGCAATGCAGCTCACCACTTTCTTATTTGGAACTATCATTTTATACACATGTTACTCTGGCTACGAGCTGCTGGGAAACCCTGTTCTAGCTTGCCAAGAAGATGGGGCTTGGAATGGCACTGCCCCTGCCTGCCTTTCAATAGAGTGCACCTTGCTGTCACCCCCAGAGAATGGTTTTCTACATTTCACTGAGAACACGCTTGGTAGCGCGGTGCAGTACACCTGTAAGCCAGGGTTCACTCTTGTTGGCTCCGACACACGACTATGTTTGACAAGTCGGCAGTGGAGTAACACTGCTCCATACTGCAAAGCAGTAACGTGCAGCTCACCTACCCAGCTTATGAATGGGAACATAAAAGGGGAAAACTACACATATGGGAGTGTTGTCTACTACGAGTGTGATCCTGGATACCAGTTAAATGGTCCCACAGAGAGGAGATGCCAAGAGAACCAGAAATGGGACGGCAGTGAACCGATTTGCATTCCTGTTTCCTGCAGCCCACCTCCAGTTTTGGAGAATGGTCAGGTGATTGGAGAGGAGTACACGTTCCAGAGACGTACAGAATACAGCTGCAACGAAGGTTTCCTGTTAGATGGGGACAGGAGCAGAGTCTGCCTTGCAAACGGAAGCTGGAGTGGAATTGCTCCAGTTTGCAAAGCTGTGACCTGCCCTGTGCCACTGCCTCTTTCCAATGGGAGAACTAGTGGCTCAGATTTTGGCTTTAAGAAAGAAGTACACTATCACTGCAATGAAGGATATAGCCTGCAAGGAGTGTCTATGCTTACCTGTCAGAGTGATGGTACCTGGGATTCAGAAGCTCCACACTGTGAGCCAGTCATTTGTGGACCTCCTGAAGACATCTCCCATGGCTTTCTTAACGGCTCAGGCTTTACCTATGGGGAATTTGCCCAGTATGTGTGCTTCCCTGGTTATGAGCTGCATGGCAGTCCTTTACGGCAGTGTTTGTCCAATGGCTCCTGGAGTGGAAGCCTTCCATCTTGCCTACCCTGTCTGTGTCCTGCACCACAGATTCAAAATGGGGTCATTCTTGGTAAAGATTTCAGCTGTGGGAAAAGTGCCCAGTTTCAATGCCTGGAGGGCTTCAAACTGCTAGGGCCTTCTGAAGTCACCTGTGAGGCAGCTGGCAAGTGGAGTTCTGGGTTTCCTCGCTGCGGGCAGATTTCCTGCGGCTCTCCACCCATCATCCCCAATGCATTTATCAACGGGAGCAGCTCTGCAGATGAGAACACCATCATCTATACCTGCTTGGCAGGTTTCGTCATGCAGGGGAGTCCAGAACTGACTTGCATGGAGACTGGTGTCTGGAAGAAGCCATACCCAAGCTGTGAGCTGTTAAGCTGTGGCCCACCACCCTCTGTCCCAAACGCAGAGGTTCTTGGGAACACATACACCTATGGGAGCAAGGTCCAGTACAGGTAAGAATTCTGTTTCCGTGATATCTCTGAAGGAATGAAGATGGAAGATTTTTGCACCCTTGGCTAGTGCAAGTTTTTAGAAGACCTGGAAGAAAAGTTATGCCCTATCACATGCTCTGATTGGCAAAGGCCACATTCCCATGCACATATAAAATACTACTTGGACCACTGTCAAAAGTGCAGCAAAGGTATTTCACTGTTGCGCTGCACTCCACCACCACCTTTAGTTTCCCGCTCCTCATGCATTCCTCTTCTCCTCTGAAAGACTGGTCTGGGCATTCAGGTTTTCTTAGCAGGTGGCAGCAACAGTCAGCAGGATGTGCAATTTTTCTCCCCTTTTGGCACCCCATTTACATATTCCTCCTGGTGCAGGTGCCTGTTGTAATACAGAGGGCTGATTTCCCTCGTCTCCCATTTCTGTACTGCAACTCTTCACTGTCAGCAAATGTTGCTGACGCAAAGTTACTCCTTTGTCAGATAGTAGAGAAAGGGGGGGGATGTGTTAATTTCCTGAAGTGTGCACACTGCAGATCTGTTTCTTCAAGGTGAGGAATTCCTTGGCAGAAGGGGAGATTTGTTTTGGCAATAAAAGCAAGTAATAGTATGGGACAGAATTCAGAGATGGCATGTGGATGAATTTAACAGTGTCAAGTCATTTCCACATGTCTTTAACATGGTGAAAGGGATGCTTCTGTCTGCCTTTCTACAAGTGAATCCACTTTTGCAAGAAATAATAGAGAATTCCCAAGGTGTGCTTATGAGCAACTAATGCTGAAAAATGACTGTCTGACTTTCTAATTCATGGGTTAGCTCATCCCTAGCTGTGTCTCTGTGGTTGGGTCTTCTTGCTGTGTTGCAGATGCCTGGAAGGCTACACAATGGTGACAGAGGTGGATGTGTGCATTTGCCAGGAAGATGGACAGTGGTCTCCTCAAAGTATTTCCTGTTGCCCCAGAAAGTGTCCGCTCCTAGGAAATACAACCCATGTAATCATACTTGGGGACAACTTCACTGTGAACACAAGCATCACTTTGTCATGTGTAGAAGGCTATACTTTGGTGGGAGCAAGCACATCTACATGCAAGGTATAGTGTTACTTGCACTGTTTTATTTTGCCAGCTTTCTTGAATTCAAGACTCCTCCACCTCCTCCTAATCCCTGATTAGCTTTTGGCCTTTAATTGCACACAGCAAAAAAATCTAAATCATGCGCTGCAAAATATAATGTGCTTCCTTGTTGCCCAGTAAAAGCAATTATTAGTTTGCCATGTATAGACTTTCAGAACTATAAATTATTCATTTCTTCTTTCATGGAAAAACTAATGCTGTCCTTTAGAAAAGTATTCCTTTTATCACATTTCAGGGAATAAATCATGTCCAAGATTTTAAAAAATTATGTCCAAGATGTCCAATGTATTTTGAGGATTGTATGCAGAGCTCTTTTTCTCCAGAATAACAGGCAGCACGCACTTCAATCCACTGTGCAGCTGTAGAAACTTGAATCCCCTGTATGTTAAAAAGCAAAGATCCTCATCAGTTCTGCTAGTAACCTGCTGTCGCATTAGCTGTGGACAACCTTAACTTAAGCTTGTAAACAGACTAAAGTCAGTAAGTTTGCTTATATGAGAAGCTGAGCATGTGTGGTTTTGCACACAAAAATGAGTACCCCTGTCCGAAGATACTACTGCTGATATTCCAAATCTGGGTGTAATTTTGTTTAAAAGTACTCGTGTCACTTCCCTAGCCTTATTAGCCCTACGAGGGAAAGCTTCTGGCCAGTGTGAAAAGGTGTCTGTTAATATTAACAAATACTGAAACCCCCCTTTTCTTGGGAGTTCAGAAAAGTCTATTTGCCAATTTTGACCTGGAACCTTCCCTTTATCAATACTTCCAAATTTTACAGGATTTCTATCTTTGGATTATTCTTTAAGCATATTTCACATTTATTAACCATGGTTTTTACAGTTTAAAACAAATTCCTGGCTCTATTTGCTTCATAAGGGAATTATACAAGGCTTCAGTTCCCCAATGAGTCTTGTCGTGTTCTGCTTTTACCAGTTTCCATAATATTCTAAAGGGAACTATTACTCTGTTACCTTTTAATTTTGCCCAACCTGATGATTTAACTTCTGCTTCCAAATCTTTAATCTAAGATCCTTCTCATCATAATCAGCCAAGTCTGGTAGTGGCAAAGCTTTTTCAAGAATCAAACTTAATAGCTCACCTTGTTCTGCAGCTCTTTTTGCCTCATGATCTGCCGATCTATTCCCCGCTTCCTGAGCAGTGTTACCCTTTTGGTGCCCTTTGCAATGCGTAACTGCAACCACCGAAGGCTATTGTACCTCATCCAATAGTCTTGGGATCATGTCAGCATGCTTATTATGTTTTCCTTGGGCTGTGAAAAGTCCCCATTCCTTCCAGATAGCCCCATGGGCATGAACTATTCACTGCAGTCCTTCAACAAGCTCTAATGGTCTCCCTAAAGCAATTAATTCAGATCTTTGTGCAGATGTACCCTTAGGGAGTGACTTTGCTTCCACCACTTGGTCTGTGGTGGTCATGATATACTCCGCCGTTCGAGCTCCATCCTTTACAAAACTACTCCCGTCGGTGTACCAAGTGTGTTCAGCTTCCTCCAGCGGCTCCTCCTTCAAGTCAGGCCTGCTTACATACACGGTCTCAATGGTTTCTATGCAGTCATGCACAACAGTCTACATTTCCTGCGTATCACTGTAGAGAAGAAGCAGGGTTGATAACAGTAGATGTGACAATTTCTGCATCATCCTGTTCATCAGAACTGCTTGATATTTCAGGAACCTTGATGGCAAGAGCTAACGTTCTCCTTTTTGTCCCAAAACGGAAGTTACAGCATGGGAAGTGTGCACAATCATCTTTTGCCCCAAAGAGAATTTTCAGGCTTCTTGAATAATCAAAACAACAGCGGCCACTGCCCGAAGGCATCCTGGCCATCCTTTTCTGACTTTATCCAATTGTCTGGTAAAGTATGCTACTGCTCGCTTATGAGGACCCAGCCTCTGGGCTAGAATTCCCAAAGCCACTCCTTGCCTTTCATAGGAGAACAGCCAGAAGGGCTTTGTTATATCAGGCAGACCGAGTTGGAGCCCTCGTTAGCTCCAATTTCAGTTCTTTGAATGCTGTCTTGGCTTCATCAGCCCATATTAATTGTGCCTGGCTATTTTTCAGTAGTTCATACAGATGTTTAACCAGAAGTCCATAATTGTAGATACATAACCGACACCAACCTGTCATTCCCAAAAAGGTTCGAAGCTCTTTTACCGTGGTTGGTTCTGGAGTCCTGCAAATAGCTTCTTTTCGGTCATTCCTGACCTGCCTCTGTCCCTTAGAAATCACAAATCCCAGGCATATTACTTCTTTCTTCAAGATCTGGACATTTCTGTAATGAGACTCGGTAACCACTTAGTCCAAGAAAATTCAACAAACTCACAGTCCATTCTTTACATTCTTCATCCTTTTCTGTGGCCATCAATGTATACATGTACATCATCTCTTGCAAAAGAATCCCATTTCCCAGAGGTCTTTCCCAGGCCTCTAATTCTTTAGCTAATTGATTTCCAAAGATTGTGGGACTGTTTTCAAATACTTGGGGCAGCACTGTCCGGGTTAGCTGGGTTTTTCATCCTGAATTGGGGTTTTCCCGTTCAAAGGTGAATAAATTGCAGCTTTCAGGGGCCAAGGTGAGGCAAAAGAATGCATCTTTCAGATCTAATACTGTGAACCATTCATAGGTTTCTTTTAAATTAGTCAATAAGTGTATGGGTTTGCCACTACCACGTGTAAATCTTCAACTACCTTATTTATTGCCCACGGGTCTTGTGCCAATCGGTAGGCTTTGCCATCAGGTTTTTTGACAGGCAGAATAGGTGTGTTA